ACTTTTAAAAGTGGTCACCCACATTTCCAACTTGGGATTTGGGGTTTTGGGTTGCACTGAGCGTCAGGTTGGGAGACCAAGAAGAGTGGAGGAGGTTGTCAGTTCCTGAAAGTGGCTAGAAGGAAATCCTGCCTGGGGATTCGGCACTATGTTCAAACTTCAAAAATAAAGATTAATACATAAAACCATCCCTCCTGATCTCATCTTCTCCTTTTCCACGGCCATCTATGCCATCTAATTTCTGATGGCCACTCATACTCCCAATGCCACCTCACCCTACACCTATCAATCCATTTCTAATGGTTCCTCAAACCCCCATACCTCCATCCATCTCCATAGTCCTTCATAGTATCTCTGTTAACTCAATACTAACTCAGACCAACTCATGCGCCCACAGAAGCTACCCTTTGCACTTCTCTCTGTGCCAAAACACCAAGTATACACCATAGTATACCTTAGGAGGCAGACAGAAAATAAAGCTGTGCATCAATTGATGATATGAAAATAAAATCTGTAATTGGCTCAAAAAACATTCAATACATGAAATTTCTTCAACTAAGCCTTATGAAAATAAACACTCTACCTAAGTGTTTAACCCTTCTGTAAACAAACATTTCCATTCAATAAGTAATTGGAGCTGACTACTGAAATGCTCACTTGATAAGTAGTACATTGTGAAAGTGATTGGGAAATCAGTCCACCTGAGCAGATCAGAGGCTAGGAATTCTGTGAAAAGTAACTCATTTCCCACCTCCCCAATGCCTGTCCATCATCTACAAGGCACAAGTCAGGAGTGTGATGGATTACTCTCCACTTGCCTGGATTAGTGCAGCTTCAACAACAATCAAGAAGTTTTACACCTTCCAGGACAAAGCAGCCCATTTGACTTTCACCCTACCCAGAACTTTCAACATTCTGCTGCTGCAAAATCAGGAAGAACAGCTGTAAAGATGGGAGAGGGCTTGCAAAGGGGGAGGGGAAAGAGGCATTGCAAAGTGGGGACAATGGCTACTGAGGAAAGAGAGGGACTGCAAAGAAGAAAGAGGAGGTTTGCAAAGGGGAGAGGAGGTTTGCAAAGCGGAAAGGAGGTTTGCAAAGGATAGGAAAGGACTGCAAACTGGGGAGCGGGATTGTAAAAAAGGGATGCAAAGGATGCGAGGGGATGGAGAAGGAGTTGCGGTGACATAGATGGATGCGGGGCTGCAAATGCAACTGGGGCTAGATACGATGTGGGGGGAGACAAAACCAAGACAGGGAAGCAGAGAGGGTGTGTGCAAGGAAAATAAGGGATTAACACAATCAAAGGCAATGCTCGAGAGAGATTTCTTCTCATGTCTGCTGTGAACTGGTCTTTGATAGTTGAGACGAAGCAAAAGTGATCCCCAAACTAGTTCCTATACCATGGGAATAAGAATTACAGTAAAAGACTCCACAGTTCTTATCGTCCAGCCCAAACCTCTCAACTTTCACTTCCTCAAAAGTGAACTCAATTTCTTTCCGCTCTATCTGCCTCCCTGGGAAATCCAACTCTCTGTTCACCACCATTATGTAATACCTACTTCTCATTTGTGTCAGCAGCAGCTCAGTGAATAAGTCATGTCTCTTGAGGCATTCACATAAAAATCCAGGCAAAAATCCCAGAGCAGGAGTGAAGCAGTGCTGCATTGTTGGAAGTACTACGTTTCAGACGAGACATCAAACTGTTGCCCCACCAGCCCTCTTCCTTGGTTGTCAAAAATCACACGGAACTATTTTGAAGAAGAGCAGGGGATTGCTTCACAACATCCTGGGTATTAATTATGGCTCGACCAAAATCACTAAAAACAAGTTATCTGGTTGCTCTCACTTTGCTATCTGTAGAAGCTTGTGCAAATTGACAACTGTGTTTTCTATGTTACAACAGTTGCTACATTAAAGTACCTGAACCTCACTGTAAGTGCTTTGCAACATCCTAAGTTTGTGACAGATACTTTAAAGGTGCCAATTCCCTGAACCTGAAGGGTCGTTGGTCTGAAGAGTTAATCCTGCTTTTCACTTTTCACAGGTACTTCCAAAACTGCTAATCCTTTCCGCATTTTCTGCTTTATTGCTCTTTTCCTTTTTCACTGCATCCTGAGTGATGTAGTGAGACTAGTAAATTTATTAGGAAGTAGAGGTGCAGAACTGTTTAATGTGACTGTCAACACTGAGCAATGCTGCTTCAATAAGGAGGTACACCAGTTGGATCAAAAATTGAAAACAATGGGGAAGCCAGCACAAAACTGGTCAGAATAACTGCTGCATAACAATCTCTAAGTGACAGAAAATGCAAATGGTTTACGGAGGGGCAATTTGACTCATATGTGTTACCAACAATTTGCATTTATGCAGTGCCCTTGACAAATTAAAACTTGCCATAGCACTTTATAGGAATATAATCAACTAAAATTTGATAGTGTGCAAAGAGCTTGGTCAAAGTGGAAGGAGTGTCTTAAAGGAGAAAAAGAGAGGCAGAGAGGTTCAGGGAGGGAATTCAGGAGTTTATGCTCCAGGGCAGCTGAAAGAAGAATCCCAATATTGAGCAAAAGAAATCTGAGATGTGTAGCAAACCAGGAAAGGAGAAGCACAGAGATCTTAGAGGGCTTTAAGACTGGAGATGGTCACAGGAAATGGGAGAGGCAGGACCAGGGAGGAATTTGAACACAAAAACAATTACAATGCTTGACAGAAAACCATCGATGGTCAGCAAGTAAAAGGTGATGGGTAAAGAGGACCTGATGTGAGTGAGGATACAGGAAGCAGAGTTTTAGTTCAACTAAAGTTTACAAAGCTTGTAAGGTAGAAGACCAGATAGAACAGTATTAGAATAGAGCCAGCAAAGGGATGGATTATACTTTCAGCTATAGGAACGCCCAAGGCAAAAGTGGAGATGGATAATATAATGTGGGTGGACGTAGACAGTCTTTGAAATGGCAAAGGTAAGCAAGTAGTAACACCACAAATGTGAATCACAACATGGAAATTACTGCTCTATCTAATTTAGTTATTAATATAGAACAGTACTAAACCACTGGAAGAGCAACAACTATATGATGCTTCTTAGGTTCCGATAAAGAGTCACAATATCTCAAAATTCACCCGCCCTTCCTCTTTCTATGGCTACATCTACAGTGTTTCCAAAACTTCATGTTAACTTTTATTTTCTAGCAGCTCCAATGTTTTACTTTTAACTCTATGGAACTATATTTAATACATCATTCTTTACAGTTTTAAACAGATAATTGAATTTAAGTGATAAACAGGGAAGCTCTGTTAAAATTAGTTAATCTAAGGCCTTGATTAGATGAATATTCATATAGAAATGTTTGGATTCCGTTACATAAAGGGTGCAGGGGACATTCAAAACACTTATAAGGATGACACCAGAACTGAGAGTTTAAAACTGTCAGGAATGATTGAGCAGACAAAGGCCTTTTCTGCTGGAAAAGAACAACTTGGATGGGTGGGGATGTATCATCTATAGAAACAGTTAAAAGTATTCAAGCATTGAGAAGGTAGATATAAAGAAGATGTTTCCACTTCTGGGGAGACTTGGGAGAAGTTGAGATGAATGGATCCAATGAACTTAAGGTGAACTCAGATAACTATGTAACAGGAGAAAAAATATTGAAGGTTATTACTTTGTTTCTGTACAATTCAGACAGAATACAAATCCTGATCGCAGCATTTACGACAATTGCAAGATACAAATCATCAGTGCTTCTGTGTTGTGGTTACATGTTTGCATGGGAGGGGAAGATCATTACAACAAATTTGGGGCAACTTCCTTATACCGATAGGGTGGGATGAGGTTGAAAGGCAAGAGGGTCACATGGAACGTGAACACTGACATGGACAGTTGGGTCGAATGCTCTTTTTCTATGCTGCAAATTCTATTCAATATCAATTGCATTGGTACCAAAATTACTGCAGCATTAGATTGTTTTAATTCAATAGCAACCCACAAAAAATAGAATATTATTGTTTTATATGCCATGCCTGTTATCAGTCAAAACGTATGCTTATGTGTGGGCGACGCAAATCATTGCCACGTGCAAAATAACAGTCTGGTTTAAAAGAAGATGTGGGAGGGTGACTGCACTGGCCTGTGACAAGGAATTGGTTGGTGAAAGTGGAAAGAGTGAACTCAGAAATGCCATGAAAATGCTATGATTTACTTTAAATATGACAAAATTTCTGAGTGAAGAAAATTACAAAAATAAGATTAATTATCTCTTAAGCGTAACTTTCCTAAAGATCATTTTGATTCATGGTTTGAAACCATAATGTCTCTACATAACTGTGTTCTTTCTTTTAAAAATGTTCATTTAAAATGACAGCCACAAATATATGACAGTCATTCATAAATTTAATAACAAAGTCAGGAGAAATCCTTTTTTTCTGGCAGTTAGTAGTGAGCATATGGAACTCACTACCACTGGGCATGGTTGCTGAGAACGATATAAAATGCATTTAAGGCAAAGGTACATAAAGACATGCAGCAGTTCAAGAAGGCAGCTCACTGCCACTTTCTCAAGGGCAATTTAATTTGGACATTAGCTGCTGGGCTTGCCAGCAGTACCTTGCAACTAGTGAATAAATATATAAATTCTTAAACACTCAAACAAAATACTGTGAATGCTGGAAATCTGAAGAATCATACTGGACTCAAAACATTACTTCTGTTTCTCTCTTCACAGATGCTGCCAACTTGCTGAGTTTCAACAGCACTTTCTGTTGTTCTTATAAATTTTTAAAAATGACGAAGCTAGATCTGGGCCTAAGACAGAAAGGAATTGGAGGATACATTGATAAGGTGAGATGAGGGAAAAAAGTTCATATAAATTCGGTAGACCTAAAATTTTTTGAAAGTTTCCTGTTTGTTGTGGGTTCATGATTATGGCAGTTAGGAATAGAGATGCCAAGAAGGATAGAGAATAAAAATTTAAACTTAGATCATGCACTACCAAAGTGGTCATTACCTGCCACTGATGCCTCCTGTTGTTCTGGTTAAGCTGAGCCAGCATGATTTGCTGATCCAACATTTCCATCCTCTGCTGTCTCTGAATTTCCAGGGTTGCGCCCATTCCAATGGGAGCTTCGTCAGTGGGATCAGCAGATGAGAAGAGAGGTTCAAGAATAAACGAGGCACACCTGGTCACCCACTTCGGTACACAAAGTAATCGCTGTACCTTCAGCACATTGTAGTGGTAAACAATTCCAGAAAGCTATAGGAGGAGTATACGAAATGGTCATCAGCAGATAGCAAAAGTTCAATCGTTAGATCTATTGTAATAGCACATATCAACTATACTGCTCTCAGCAATGATCTTAGATTAGAAAAGTGGCAGACAATTGGGCTCTGACCTTAACTGGGGCAAGATTTCCAAATAGTAAGGGGTGAAGCTCTGGCTGAAAGGTCCATAAACCTACAGACATTTGTGCATGTTTTTCTTTCTACCAGTCTTCCTTGTCAGAAGCCAGTGGTTACCAAAACACAGGATACTTTATAGAGTCTGGAGCTGATTGTGGAGAGTTGGAGAGAACCTAGGTCAAGAAACAGAGAAACGGTGATCGTAAGAAGTGGCGGATTTGCAGTAAAAGCCAGGAGTAATTGGGATGAAAGACTTTTGCTTCATTTGGCCCACAATCAGTGTTGGAAAAGATGCTACTTCCTCCAGGAAGCAGGAATCAATTGCCTTTAAATGCTGTGTCCCAAGGTCCAAGATACAGACAGGTCAGAGATAAACTTGGAATAGAGTTGACCTCTGAGACAAACTACCTCATTAAAATATTTAAATAAGTACCCAATCATCTGGGAGCAGGTTGGTTGCCCATCTCACCTCCATCAAACTCGATATAGGAAAGTTCCAAGTTGATTTCTACAGGATTTGAGATTTTTTAAAATTGCTAAAATGTTTTAAATTACCGTAACTCATTTGACCCAGTCACTCATTTTGGAAATTAAAATTATAGCATCATATACTTGCCAGTGCAGCTATAAACCCTCAATACTTGCTTGAATAGAAAGAATTCAATTTAAGTTAATGTTACTATGAGTTTACTTTTTATTCCTTTTTGTACTGGCTCTCTGGAGTTATTACAGATATTAGCTATGTCAAAACACATGCTTTGTTTAAAAAAAGAATTTTCTTCAACATCTTTTTAAAAAAAAAGTCTCAATGCAATAAAAATGAATGATCAGCAAATTGTGAAACTATGTTTTGTTTCTTTCATGTCCTGCCAGAGCACCGCCACACTTGGTAAGACAGCTATAGGTGGCTCAGTTCTAAGTAATAGTTCCACTGTTCCAGCCGGCAGTATGGATGCTCCTGAGATAGTTGAGTTGGGTCCTTTGTCATGTCAGAGGACCTCTTGCCCTATACTTTCCATTGTTTCCATATTAAAAGACTGTTCCAGAACAATTTAGGTTGGGGGATGTAATGGCAAATGACCATAGGTGTTCATTAGGTGGAGCATTTTTACAGACGGAATAAGAATGTCATCTGCTCTGTGGAAAATAAAATCCTAAATGAAACTAAAGAGATTTGGCAGTACAAACTTACTAAGCATTACATGTAGCAATGTGGATTCACAAACCTAAAATATATGACAAATAAAGCTTTGGTTTTTTTAAAATTTATTCATTTGTGGAATGTGGGCATCGCTGGCTGGGCCAGCATTTAATCCCCGTCCTAGTTGCCCTTGAGAAGGTGGTGGTGAGCTGCCTGCTTGAACCGCTGCAGTCCACCTGCTGTGGGTTGACCCACAATGCCATTAGGCAGGGAACTCCAGGATTTTCACCCAGTGACAGTGAAGGAACGGTGATATATTTCCAAGTCAGGATGGTGAGTGGCTTGGAGGGGAACTTGGAGGTGGTGGTGTTCCCATATATCTGCTGCCCTTGTCTTTCAAGATGGAAGTGGTCGTGGGTTTGGAAGGTGCTGTCTGAGGATCTTTGGTGAATTTCTGCAGCACATCTCATAGATAGAACACACTGTAGCTACTGAGCGTCGGTGGCGGAGGGAGTGGACATTTGTGAATGTGGTGCTAATCAAGCGAGCTACTTTGTCCTGGATGGTGTCAAGCTTCTAGAGTGTTGTTGGGGCTGCACTCATCCAGGCAAGTGGGAGTATTCCATCACACTCCTGACTTTTGCCTTGTTCATGGTGGACAGGCTTTGGGGATTCAGGTGGTGTGTTACTCGCCGCAGTATTCCTAGCTTCTGACCTGCTCTTGTAGCCACTCTGTTAATGTGGTGAGTCCACATGAGTTCCTGCTCAATGATAATCCCCACGATGTTGATAGTGGGGGATTCAGTGTTGGTAACACCATTGAATGTCAAGGGGCAGTGGTTAGCTTGTCTCTTATTGGTGATGGTTATAGCCTGACATTTGTGTAGCACAAATGTTACTTGCCACTTGTCAGCCCAAGCCTGGATATTGTCCAGATCTTGTTGCGTTTGGACATGGACTGCTTTAGTATCTGAAGAGTCACGAATGATGCTGAACATTGTGCAATCATTGGTGAACATTCCCACTTCTGTCCTTATGATGGAGGGAAGGTCATTTATGAAGCAGCTGAAGATTGTTCAGCCTAGGACACTAAACTGAGGAACTCCTGCAGAAATTTCCTGGAGCTGAGATGACTGATCTCCAAAAACCACAACCATCTTCCTATGTGTCAGGTATGACACCAACCACCAGAGAGTTTGGAATCCCATTGATTCCAGTTTTGCCAGGGCTCCGTGATGCCACACTCAATCGGATGCAGCTTGATAAAAGGGCTGTCACTCTCACCTCATCTCTGGAATTCAGCTGTTTTGTCCATGTTTGAACCAAGGCTGTAATGAGTCAGGAGCTGAATGGCCCTGGTGAAACTCAAACTGGCCATCACTGAGCAGGTTATTGCTGAGCATGTGTTGTATGACAGCACTACTGATGACACCTTCCATCACTTTACTGATGATCGACAGTAGACTGATGAGGCGATAATTGGCTGCACTGATTTGTCCTGCTTATTGTATACAGGACATACCCAGGCAATTTGGGGATATTTGTGCAGCCTCATCCTCCAGTGAGTTGTTTAATCATCCTCCACCATTCAGGACTGGATATGGCAGGACTGCAGAGCACAGATCTGGTCTGTTGGTTGTGGGATCGCTTGGCTCTGTCTATCACTTGCTGCTTATGCTGTTTGGTGTGCAAGTAATCCTGTTTGGTGGCTTCACCAGGTTGACACCTCAACTTCAGTTATGCCTGGTGCTGCTTCTGGCATGCCCTCCTGCACTCTCCATTGAATCAAGATTTATCCCTTGGCTTGATTGTGATGGTTGAGCAGGGAATATGCCTCCTGACTATATACCACTGTTCGGCCACCTCTGCCATGTCTGTGTTGCCGGTGGGAGAGGACACACCCCTGGGATGGTGATGGTGGTGTCTGGGACATTGTCTGTAAGGTATGATTCTGTGAGAATGAATATGTCAGGCTGTTGCTTGACTAGTCTGTGAGACAGCTCTCCGTCAATTTTGGCACTAGCTCCCAGATGTTAGTGAGGAGGACCTTGAAGGGTCGACAGGGCTGTTTTTGCCGTGGTCTTTTCCAGTGTCTTGGTCGATGCCAGGTGATCCGCCCAGTTTCATTTCTTTCAGACTTTGTAGAGACTGATACAACTGAATAGCTTGCCAGGCCATTTCAGAGGGCAGCTGAGAGTTAATCACATTGCCATGGGTCTAGAGTCACATGTAGGCCAGACCAGGTGAGGATGACAGATTTATTTCCCTGAAGGACATTAGTGAGCCAGATGGGTTTTCCAACATTCAACAATGATTTCATGGTCATCAGTAGATTCTTAATTCCAGATTTTTTTTTATTGAATTCAAATTCCACCATCTGCCGTGGTGGGATTCAAACCCAGGTCCCCAGAACATTAGCTGATTTTCTGGATTAATAGTCTAGCGATAATACCACTAGGCCATTGCCTTCCCAGGAATATATTTCCAAAGGAATATAATTTAAAAGCATTGAAATTATCATAAACTACGTACATGACCTGCGTTAGATCATTTTCAGCATACTTACCAGTTCTGGTGTCTACATTAGTGAAAGGATAAACAGTAAAGTTCCTTTTACCTGGCACCCACCAACTGAAATCTCCAATATCTCCCCCACCCCTCAATGCACTTCCATAACTAGGTAAAACACCAATGCTATCAATCTGCAGTGGCTGTAAAAGAACCAGTTAAAGTTTTAAGTATATTTCCCTCAATGTTCACAAAACTGAAGAGTCAGCGATGGAGATGAGGTTCCAGGCCTTTGCAGGTTGCAGTATATATCAAGTCATGTTTTAACTCAATCCCTATTAATGCCATTAACAACAATGGGTTAACTTGCACTTTAGATACACCAGCTTCGTCTGATCGTGGTTCATGGCATCCAACACAAATTTTACTGTATAAAGAGTTAGCTTCATGTTAGTAGTTAGGAGATTTTGAGATTTTGAGAGACAATAATCCAGGGAAAAATTAAAATTGGTACAGATTTATTAACTTAATGGTGTATGACTAACTTGATGATTTGTTTAACGAAGGAAGTTGACAAATATATATATAATGTGTGTATGGAATGTCAAAACATATTTGATGAAGCGCCACATAATAGGCTTGTTGTCAGAAATAATGCCAACAGGATTGAAAAGACAGTGACAATGCGGGTACTGACGCTGGCCAGAGTACAGAAAGCAGATATTTCATTGTTCCTCAGAGGTAACGGAGGTTCTACTGTGGTGTTCCCCAGGTATCGGTATCAGGACCACTTTTCTTTTTGATATGTACTTGTGACTTGTTTTGTAGATGATAGAAACTAAGAATTCTTTTAAACAGTAAGAATAGTAACTGTGGTATTTTCTCAGTTGACTACACTTGGTAACTTGTGGTATTTACACCTCTATCAGTATGTGATACTGGATAAGGGTTGTTTGCTGCCACTAATCCTGCACTGACTTTGCAGTAAGTTGTTGTGATCTAGAATGCACTGTCAAAAAGAGCAGTGGAAGCAGATTCAAGTGTAACTTTTAAAAAAGGAATTGTACAAGTACTGGAAGGGAAAAACACATACAGTGCTACGGGGAAGAGCAAGAAAGTGCAATTTGCTGCATGGAGAAAGCCTTTCGTCATTGCTTTGGTTCGTGTTGATACAATAACTTCATGCAGTAGGAGGCATCACGAAC